CCTGGGGGTTTTGAAAAGTGGTCGGCCCCCCCGTGTTGGGAGCAAGCCAAAAGAGGGTCCCGCGGAAGCCCTCCTCCCAAGATGGGGGGAGAAAGGCAGACCCGCCCCATTAAACGGGGAAAGGCCTTGGGGTACCAAAAAACCGAAGTTCGGACCGGCAGAGTTTTGCCTTTGCAAACTTTAAGGCCCTCTGCGGCGGCGCGACGGGCCTGTTCGACGAGTTGCCGTCGCTGTTTGCGCCCGGGGCCATCGCGGTCGCCGCCGCGCTCCTCGCGATGTTTGTGCTCAATGGCGAGTGTGGCGCCGCCAACTGTTGCAGCAAGCCGACCGCCTGGTCCGAACCAGTCAAGATGACGCCGGCAGGGTCCTCCGCGGCTGCACGAAGGATGCGCGATTCCATTTGATGCCTGCGACCGTCCGAGAGGACTCTTTCGCTTTTCTCACCGCCCGTACGTTGGCTAGTACCGGGTAGCATGTTGTGGGGCGTGCATGTGAATGCGCACGTTGCAGTACTCTATTTTTGAGTGGTCTCTCTGGACTCTGCGCTCACGTTGAAGAGACTTTTACAATTTCATTACTGTTCTAGAGATAGCAATAGTAGCGTGTTTTTGTACTTATGGTGATAGATGACCATTTCAACTCGCAAAATCTCTAACTTTAATTGATCATTATCATTGGAAAGTCGCAGGGCGGGGCGCCCTGGTGCTGGTCGGGTGGTCGCCTCGGGGCGGCCCCCCCAGGGAGGTGGGTGGAGGGGGGCGGGCGGCCCCCATGCCATCGTGTAGGCTGCGCGGGGGACACAGCTGCGAGCTGGGGCCAGACTATTCGGGCTCTTTCATATTATTTCGCCCCCCCCCCCCCCCCTCTTCCCCCCTGCCTCCTTGTCCACGTCGTCCAGAGAGAGAGAGTTTTAGCGAGAGAGAGATTTTTAGCAATACCAAACATTTTTGTTGTGCTTTTCAGTGTATGTAGCTCTTACGTACATTCCTGGAGGAGGAATTCTGACTGGGTTTGCGATGAGGAGCGATCCGAACGCGGCATTCGGGTGATCAGATAGATCACTACCGCCGAAACGCACAAGAGCACTGCGACATACATCGGGGTCAATTAGTACCCCCACTTGCGGGCCGATCTTATCGGACAATTCTTTTTTGTGCGCGCCAGTCCCGTGCCCAGTGTCGTGCGAGCGCGCTTCTCAAAATTCTTTTTGTGAACCATAGGACGTATTTTCTTCTCCAATAACAAGGCTGTGAAAGGTACCCAGCTACAAGCTCAGCTAGCTCAAAAGGTACCCTGGCCTAGCTAGCTCAAAAGTTTCGCGGCGGGAAGGTGTAGAATGTAGAACGCGGTAGGGAGTCTGTGTGAGTACTTTTAGCTCTCTCTCTCTGTGTACGGGCGGCACTATCCCGATTTCCCTTTTTTACCTGCCTCTTTCTTTTTCGCCTGCCGGCGCCAGTTCGGCGCCGACAGCGGCCTGCACGGGGTGCTGGTCCGGTTCCGGTAACTTCACCTGCACTCCATCGCTGACTCGCGAGTCGCAAGCAAAAATGGACGAGTTCTCGTCCCCTTACATCCAATTCGAGGGTGGCGCAAAGCCGCGGCCGGCCGGCCTCAGCTCCGGCGGCACCGCACCGCGGGTCAGCGCCAGCGCACAGCCTCCGCCTCCTCCCTCGGCGACGCATGCCCGCGGCAGCCGGGAGTCGTTGGCCGACGGCGGCGCGCGGCGGCGTGGCGCGTTCGCGCGGGCGTGCAGGTGGTGCTGCGGCAAGCGCGAGCCAGAGGCACGCCACATCCGTCTCAACGCCACCCGGCCGACGCCGCGGCGGTACGCGAGGAACCTCGTGGTCAACACGAAGTACTCCTTCTTCAGCTTCGTGCCGAAGGTGCTGTACGAGCAGTTTTCGCAGTTTTTCAACCTCTACTTCCTCGTGGTCGCCCTCTCGCAGCTCTTCCCGCCTCTCCAGATCGGGCTCCTCTTCACCTACATCGCGCCGCTCGCGTTCGTGCTGGCCGTCACCATGTGCAAGGAGGGCTTCGACGACTACAAGCGGTACCGCACCGACCGCGAGATCAACACGGAGCTGTACACCCGCCTCACGCCCGGCGGAGGCGACGTCACCGTCGCCGCGCAAGACATCTCTGTCGGGCATGTGCTGCGGGTGAAGCCGAGGAGCCGTCGGGCACACTGTGCTGGGCTGGCCGGTGCGGACGTACGTCCTTCCGCCTCCCTTGCCCCCTAGGTGCGTGCCAACCAGCGCGTGCCTGCCGACCTGCTGCTGCTGCGCACCAAGGAGTCGTCCGGCATACTCTTCCTGCGCACGGACCAGCTCGACGGAGAGGAGGAGGCTGGGAGCTGCGCCTCGCGGGGGACCAGCCATCGGAGGGAAAGCCGGTTGTGAACAGGAGAGACGGACTGGAAGCTGCGCCTCGCCGTGCCAAGCTGCCAGAAGCTTTCCTCGGACGAGGAGAGCCGCTCGAGGGCAGCGGCGGCTGGCAGACAGCAGCAGGGCTCTGACTCACCGCTCTACGCTCGAGTCAGGCTCTCGCCGAGGCGAGCGGCGGCGTGTACGCGCCCGAGCCGACCGCCGACATCTACGCGTTTGAGGGCGACCCTCGCCCGGGGCCGAAACGGACCTCAGGCCAAGCTCACCTCGCCCCCGCCCCGCCAGGCGACCTCACCCTCTCCGACTCGGAGGGCGACGCCACCGAGCCGCTCTCGCTCGACAACACTCTCTGGGCGGGGACGGTCCTCGCCTCGGGCGAGGCGCTCGCGCTCGTCCTGTACACGGGCACCGACACGCGCGGCGCGATGAACTCGGCGCCGCCCCGATCCAAGGCGGGCTCGGCTCTCGCCAAGGAGTGGTGGTGGTGGTGGTGTGAGCTGTCACCGACTCAGCGCCGCTCCTAGGTCGCGTCGGTCGACCTGCAAGTCAACCTCCTCGCAAAGGCGCTCCCTCTGAAGCACGCGCCGACGAGTCAACCTCTCACCCGCCCGGCTGCTCTGCAAAGGTGCTCTTTGGTCTCACGGCGTCGACCGCGCTGGCGATGGTCGCCGTGCCCTTCATCCAGCGGGCCGCCTCCTCGCGGCTGGCGAGCGCCGAGATGTCGCAGCAGCTGCTGCAGGCGCTGGAGCGACGCGTGTGCCGGACCGAACGAGCGAGGCACGGCCGATCCTTCTCAGAGACGAGCGTCACCCGCAGGCGCTGCTCGACTTTTGCCGCTTCCTGCTCCTCTTCTCCTCCATCATCCCGATCTCCCTGCGCGTCGCGCTCGACATGGCCGAGCTCTCGCACCGCCGCAGAGGCCCCTCGCTCACGAGTCACACGGGGGGCGGCTCTGACTAGGCGAAGCTCGTCTACAAGCTGCAGATGACGTCTGACGCGCGCATGCCCGGCCTGCAGGCCCGCCCCTCCACGCCGCCGACCTGCCTGCATCTTCCGAGACACTGCCGAGACACAGCCGAGAGCAGCCGCCTGCAGGTCCGCTCCTCCACGCTGCCCGAGGAGCTCGGCGGCATCGACTTCCTCCTCACCGACAAGACGGGCACCCTCACGCGCAACGAGATGCTCTTCCGCAAGCTCCACCTCGGCTTCGCCTTCCTCTCGCCCCAGGCGAGGGGCGGCCCTCGCACCACGGATACACAACAACGCTTCGGACGCACCTCGGCGCACCTCGGGCGCACCTCGGGCGCACCTCGGGCGCACAAGCTCGGGCCAGGCCCGGCCTCCCGCTTGCTTC